AATTATTTTTTTTTTTACTGAATGTAACAACAAACGTTTCTAATTATCAGACGAATAAAAAAATCTGCGTGATACAAGTCTTGAATTCGTTTATCCAGTATACAGCACTTCGGTCAAAATTAACAGTAGCGTGTAACATTTACAGGGAATAGTTTCATATTAAAATTATAGTACTCGTCGATAGAAACGCTACATAGTAGCATAAAGTACCCGTACGTTACGCGTTCCTAGTAACAATATTTTTTCATCATAAAATTACACTATTCACTTGTTCTGGAATCATTTCTTTTTTTTTCGATTCAAACCTTACAATGTAAGTATTATTTACAAAAGAATAGAGAATATTTATCATTGCGATTGTTGATGAAGAATTGTTTCAAGGATACGTTTCTTAACTATAAAAAGATGCTTTCCAAAGTGACTTCCTTAACAATACAATGACAAATTTCCTCGAGCACCATGTAATAAAATAAATTGGTAATGTCATAGCCTGTCTATAAATATAATCTATACGATTACACGCGTAGTGTTTTTAAATATATACATTTCCACATAGTACTATATTGCACAGTACTTTCGTAATTAAAAATAATGAGCAAAAGTATAGTGTCGATATATGAGAGAAAAAAACATGAATGCATCACATAACTCACGATGCAGTTTGTGTTTTCTATTATTTTGTAACAATACTCCATCTAGTCAATATAAATCACTATCAAACAATGCACTGCACATTTCGAATTCTATTCGTCTGACGAATGAATTTTCTTTTAAAAATATCACCACTATTATAGGACTTTTAAAATGTTGGTGGATTTAAAATAAATAACCTTTCTTCCTCTTTTTTAATCCATTTTATCAGTTTACTCGCTGCCTCAATGGCATCGGCTTTGGTTACCAACGGTTCAAATGTAACATAGAGTTCAAAACTTATTGTTACCTGGAATATATATTTAATTTAATTAAAACAAACATTGTGAACTACACAAATATATTTCAACTTACCCATGCCAACATGGTCTCTTTATCTAATTGTTGGAATATAAGTTTCAGTGGTCGGTTAGGAGCATACAATCTGTGATGTAAACACTGATATAGACCCAACAATCTGAAAAGAACAAAGTATATCAATCGTTTTTTATAAATTTATAAAACATATTATTTTGTAAAATATATTGTACGTACCGTTCGATTTCTTCGTCCTTTGTGTATGGAGGTTGAAGTCCAGGACTCCAAAACTGAGCTGTACTTTTACATTTGTACAAAACGTGTCTCATTTCTGGCAAACCGATATCAGCCGTTGTAATTGGTGGTTTATTCATGGATTCGTTAATCGCTTCTAAGCAGTTTGTCCGCCTTAATTTTTCTACAATTTTCTAGAAAGAAAAATTGTTCAGTATTTTCCACTGAAACATTTATCGATATCAAATGAAAGATTCTTTAATTACTCGCTTACTTGTTTTGCTTCAGAAAGTACAAAAAATACGTCTCTGTCGACCGTAAGCAATAATAGGCATGCTTGACAATCCTCGGCCAAGTATGATACATGCCCGTGCATATAACCGTTAGCGTCAAACTTCGGCAAACATATTGGTGTCCAGCTTTCGGCTGTTTTAAGTGACTCTGAACTGTCGACCAAATTTTGTATTATATGCAAGTCCACTGGATGTAAAAAAAATTTGTTCATTCTGACTAATGTTACCAGTTGATTATTAGCTAGAAGTATTGCAAACACTAAATTCTGGAAAGTGTCAGATGAGTCTTATTAGTATGATCTTTAAGAAGGACAGTGTACTCTATTCTACGGTGAACATAAAATTTCATTTGGAGAATATAATATACCTTGATTTTACCACACGTCTGAATGATAGTCTGAGCAATGGAACTTCGCATTGAAGGAAGTAAAGGTAAACATTTAATAGCGCCTAGAAAAAATGCTGGTTCTCTGTCCATGAAATTTAGTAAATGATCTATCAGTCTTTCACTACCAGATAACAACCTCCTCAAATCAAAATTCCTACGTTGATCATATACTCTAGTTAATTGTGACTGTGTTAACACAGAGACTATCTGATTATATACGTATCTGAAATGACAAAAATATGTTAAAACACAATAAAACGGACTGGCGCTTGCTTTAATGTGACACACATACGTTAACTGCAATGTAAGTTGAGGTACACTTTCAAGTGTTTTTGAAACTGCAACTAATATTAATGGACCTTTGACAACAAATACAAAGTTAGTATCTCCTGCATGCACAGATCTGATCATATCACTGCCTGCTTGGACGAATGAAACTAGGGCCTGCATGACACCCATTACTGTGACTAGTTTATCTTCAGAACTATATCTAGAGTATATGGGTTTTCCAGCCTGGCTCAATATAAATATGTGTTTCCTTTGAGCCAACCATGTTTTGCAGCGTAAGGGATCAGACTCTAAACTACTTTGACCTAACCGATGGGTGACATCCTCCTAAAACATAAAGGATATCAAGTATCTGACATTAGTAAGTGGGTGTTACCGCAAAAAAAAAATAATGTAGCTCAGACTTAATGGAAACAGATAACAATCTATATCCCATAATTTTCAATGATAGTCAACATCTTCTTCTGGCTATTACTTTAACGGACTATTGTCATCTTTATTTGATGAATTGCTTTTAAGTTTAATGCATCTGCGGCATTTCTTACGACAGAGGTTATAAAACGTACTAATTCCGAATCATCAAGAGAAGCTGTTTTCTGAAGATCTCGTGAATTTGTTGCGGTGGGCGTTGTTGGAATGTCTTGCGTGTCTTCTTGAATTTCTGAGATGGTGCTCGTAGTGCTTTCTTTCATTTGTCTATCGTCGATGCTACTGCTGATCTCTTGTTCGTATTCTTCAAAACTATCAGTAGTGACAAGCATCGTTTCCGCAGAAGCGCCTGGTTCAATGCCAGGCTCAGCGATTTCATCGTCAATAGTAGCAGGTTCCTTTGCTGCCATAATTCTCAATAAAACACTACTATCCTACCACTATTTTAAAACTTCCTCTTCCAGTTGACATTTAACGGCTAGTCGTGACGGATCAGCCGCCATTGTTGAAGTCCGGCTTATTTAGAATACACACAGGCCGACTAACAGTCTGACCAGCCTTAAAGACCTTGAAAAAAAGTTACTATAATTGTACAAACCAAAAAATTGGTCATACCTTTAATTGCATATTTTTGAATTATTTTGAATTGCTCTTAGTTTCATGCACTTGAAACTGTGTTAATCAATAATACACTTTGTGAAATAGAACAATTGTCTTTTGCATAAATAAAATATTAATATAGAAATTATATAGAAAAGATAAGAATATTACTTTATTAATATTTTCAAGATTCTTTCATACTGAACTGTAAGGTTAAAAAAATTAATCGGCGTTTAAGATAGATACTATTCTATGGAGGGTACAGGATACCTATCAAAGAATTGAAATCTTTATTTGATTTATATTATTTATTGTTTCATAACAATATAGAATCCAAAAATAACTTCAATAAAGCGAAAAGTGTCGTGCGATAAAAAACTATGTGGCTGTCGAATATACATTTTAGCGATGCTCTCGTTCGCTAGTAGGAACGATTTAAAGGCAACGATCATTTAAACGGCATACACATCCAACTGGAATTAACAAATAATCTGTATATATAGCTGAGCTACATATATTGCCGGTTTGATTTGCGCGTTCTACATCAAGAATTCAAGTGCAGAAGTGGACGCATGTTCCGCACCGACTCGTCGATAAATTCGCTCATAACTAGACTAGTTTGCACACATATGAGATTCTTTATAGTCTTCTAATCTACTTCCCCCACTCCAGTTCTTAATAAAAATATCAACAGACCACTGAGATTCTCTAGTTTAAGGGAACAATATCGCTTAGTTGCAGATACTTTTTCCATGTAAATAATCTTTTCCTGTAATATTTCCGTTAATACTGTCAGTGTTGTCTAATATTACCAATTTCCTTTTTAACATTCAATACAGCCTTTCAAAAATAGTACCATATTTGAAACAATTATTGAAACTCATCGACAAGTCGGTGCGGTGTTTAATTCTCCTTTCTCATGATGTAATGTCTGCTCGATTATTTTGAAACCATGATTTCGTATTCAGGGAAGGCGACTTCTGCCCCACCATATGGGATGTAGCAAACGCTATGAGACGGTTGCACCTTGCCAACTGTCACGGTGCCTTCATGATTCACGCGGCCGACGTAGAGAGCTTCTCCATCTTCGGTTTCGCCACCCGGAATCGCATTGGGAGGAATGCTACCTCCGCTAGTTGGTACCCATGCGGGATTACAGCCACAGAGAACCTAATAAGAATAATTTGATTTTAGTAATTGCATTTATTTGTTCCTAGGTGCTCTCTAGGTTCTGTAATTATATAATAGACAGGAATATTGGGCGGATTAATCATCCTATATGTTTTAGTAGATTATTTTACCAGTATTACCTGATACTCAGCCTTTCCATGCTCCTCGCCACCCCAAGCAACGTAACAAACGGAGTGGCTGGGCTTCACTTTGCCTGGCAAAAGAGCTCCCTCGTGGAAAGCTCTCCCTACGTACAAGGTCTCACCGTCATTTCCGCCTTCTACTGCACCTGGAGGCACAATCCCGCCTATTGCGTCACACCAGCACTCCTGGCCCACTTCCAAACCTTGTACCGGAGGAGCAGATGGGGCAGATGGGGCAGATGGGGCAGATGGGCTTGAATCTAGAAGAAGGTGCATCAACCCATTAATGTATACATTCAGAAGAGAACGAAATAATCGGTGGTGTAATACAGACAACGAAAACGGGATCCAAGGACCTTGATCCCTGTTCCAACTTGAAATATCAAGTGAATGATTGAAAGAGAGGTTTCACCACCGATTTAAAACTCGATATTCTGTTCACAAACATGCTACAGAAAAATTAGAACAAAAACATTTATGAATATAGCAACCCCCTATTAATGATGACAGTAAAGTATTGATGGATGAATATCGATGCAAATAATCCTGGCTATTTTCCATTTAATCTTCTAAGTACATTAACGGAATCTACTGAAAAATTACAAAACGATAAGATGACTTGCGGAGAACACATTAAAACGAGTGAAAGTTACGATGAAAATGTCATGTCTGCGAAAGATAATAGCGATGACCTCGGCGCACACAACGCAACGTGTTGATGTTAGAAAAATGCGGTCGAGCGTGCGGTTAGTATGTCAAACACAATCACAGCAAACTCAATCGACCATTGAAGACCATATCCCCTGATCGTTCCCAGCGATTGCGATATTAAACTTTCGCAGAATTCATTTCCATACAAGGCGTTTAAATCCGCGTCGCTACCCAAGCGAGAACAATTCTTTTTTGCTCAATGATCCTAAGTTCCTGCGACGCACCGCAGAAGGGAAAGCAGGGAATACAAATGGCATCTTCGTATAATGTACAGTAAATGAACGTTCAGTGAAAAAGAAAACTGGATCCCGAAATAGGATTCTCTTCACGTTTAACACATTTTCATTAAAAAATAGAAAAAAGTGTATTAGGTGTGTGAAACTGTATAAAAGTGTATAAAAGTGTTTCTCAGTTTATAGAATCCCATCTCTTCCTTCAATTTGTACAGTATTCCCTCGTTACGCAATCCCGTGTTTTTAACACTAGAACTACCAAGCAGTCAAGTCAACTTTTCAAACTTTTTCTACAGAAAACCCAAGAGTGCATCTATCGAGACTTCCATCACTCAAAACTCAGTTCGCGTATTACTGAAACAATTTCTTTAGAAATTTCTTAGAGAAGGATTTATTGCTTTTCAATAATTGTAAAAGAAGAATTTAGTAATGGTTCATTTTGACCCATCTAGTAGTTCTAGCGTTAATATATTTTCTTCTTTGAAATTTTTAACATTTCCAAGAGTTCTTCTTCAGAAAGATATCAAGCATCCTCGTTGTATTATTCCACATTCGGAGACATCCAATAACGAGGCAATACTGTACTGTATTTAGTCTTCAAGAGATGATCATTAGTTGTAGAGTATTCTGGATCAGGAAGCTTCCGTGTGCTCGCAGCGATGATCAGAAAGATTCGCATTATCGATTCGATGATCAAGTCCCGACACTGAAGAAAAAACAAAAAAAAAAGATGTTCAGGCAAAATTACTTTTCACTGGGGGCGTACGAAGTTGCCATTTCCCTGTTGAACCCCAACCGGTGCGCACGCCCACGTAGCTCACGCCAATCGGCTTAGGATCTCGCCATTCCATGATCACGGGACCGTTTAGATCACCAGTCCTGACCGTGATCAGACCGTCGCGCCAAGAGATAGCGAACTTCTTGAACTCGTTCTCGTTCAGCAGGTTTGGCGTGTTCACGCGCACCTGTCCGTATAGAATCAGCCTTTTAGGACAGGGGACTCCCCGCGACATAAGGAAACGCGGCTATGTGGATTCCTTTAACCCTTTCTACTTTGGTAACGCGCCTGCCTGACAAAGGTTTGATGATTCTCAACCCTTCGCGGTCGAAAACCTTTGAAGCTTCAGGGAACTCTTCATGAAAAGTTGAATTATGCATCGAAGTCTTAAACACAAGGAAAGAAAGAAATCATGTATCAATCTATTGCTATTTAAATAATTGAATTATTCATTCGCAGATTTCGACTTTAAACATCAAAGCTCAAAATGATCGTGTCAGTGACCGCAAAGGGTTGATTCTTTATACCCGGAGGACCAGTGGCGGCTTGATATTATAGATAACATTTAATATAATGAGTCCTTTTTTCTTGAATTCTTTCTTTATACTTGTACAATATATAATCCTTAAGCTTAATGTCAGTAACGATCTCCCAGTTTATGAAAAAGATACAAACATTTTAAAACTAAAGGCTAAACATTTTCTGGAGCAGCACCCCCACTAATTTTAGCTACGAGCCGCCACTGCTGAGGACACATCAAAGTATCATTTAAAACGCTGTTATGAAATATATAATATATAAAGTCAAAGACAGAACTGAAGGGTTAAAGGAATGTTGCTTCAAGTTCAGCTTCGAACCTTGTCGGGTTGCTTGCGATCGTGTCTGATCACCGATGCTGTGTTCTCCCAACCCCCGAGCATGATCTCATACATAGGGGTCGATTCGCCTTTTTTGTTGGTCAAGGCAACGTGAGCGTTGCTCTTAGCCTTCACGTCGACTAGGATTGAACCGCTGGGTATGTTTCGAAACTGGTACACTAACTGGTTCCGCGTTGATATGGGGCCATGTCCTTGCAGAAACCAAAGAAAATGGAATAAAACTCGAAGCACTTAAACGAGAAAGCTTTGATCAACCAGGGATTCAATGGAATTATTTCTGGTGTTTCGGTAACGCCTGTTTTTACATTTCCAGGCATCTTTCAATCTTAATTGTGTAACCAATTAACTCTCCGTTGCCTTTAACCTCAATCATTTACACTTTGTAGGATTTTACAAGAATGTGAACGACGGGGACTGAAGTGATAAGCGTGACTAACGCTAAACAAGCACTTCTTGTGCATACGTACCGTTTTAATGGAACTGAACGATGCCGAATTAAATAACATCACAGCACTATGTGATTTGTAAAAAAAATATGGAAGGATGCAACGTGCTTGGATCATATCAAACATACTCGAGCAGAAAAGCTGAAAGTATCTAAGGGATGCAACTACGTTTTTCGACCAGACTTTATATACTATACGTACAACGCTCCTGACCACCAACACAGATGGCTGTATGGACGATGATGTATTAGTAGATCCATCCGACATCCGATTAAGAACCAGGAACAAGATTGTGTTAATAAATTGCGATAGGTACTTAAATATCTCGTCGAAAAACCCGATTCTGCTACGACATGTCTACTATAATATACACTATTGGCGAAAGTAATTCTACATTATCCAAAGCAGCAGAACAATATACCTTTCATTCGCGATATTGAGGTTTTCAATTGCATCTATCAAGGTACAAGAAAGGATCCCTGTGCTTCAATAAAGAGAGTACTTTTTAAATAGAACAATCGAAGTGTACCAAAGAACTGAGAAGGAAAGCAACTATAGTAGGAACCTCCTAAACCCTAGGAAAGTATCAAGAACAAGATCAAGAGGATGTTCTACCTTCGATCTGCCATTCGCCGGTCGCGCCCCAACCAGTGCACACACCAAAGTAACCGATTCCGAAGGGTTCTGGATCAGTATAATAGAGGAATGCGCTTGGTTCGCCTTCTTTGCCCACTGAAAGAGCACCGTCGCCCCATCTAAAAAAAAATCATTGAATAAGAAACCAATTTCAAATCGTTCAATCCCAGTTCAGCAGCTGGGAATAGTGTTAATAAAGCGGGTACAGAAATATAGCAGTACTGGAGACTTCAATGCGTGGTAAACCGTGACTAGCCGCTAGAGGCCGTCTTATGGTATATCTGTACGCTAGTATACCATATAATTACAGTATTAATTAATATGATATTAATACAATACAGTATTTATTGATAGAATATTAATATATAATTATAGTATTATTTAACGATTAAATAATACAACTACAATCATAATTATAAATAAAAACTAAAATTATACCATCACCAGTATATATACTGGTATTATCTACACTATACACTACAGCATCCACATTATTACAACATTCTCCTGATTCCCGGTATTAATATCAGTATTCATTAATCTACACTTCACCTGATCCAAAAACCGCGGAATTCGTCGGCACTCAGTATACCCGGTGTCTCTACCTCTGCGGCTTCAGGCTTGGCTTTATTCTTTCTAATCACGGACTTGGCGTTGTTCCATCCACCGATGAAAACCTGTTTGTTAAGAACGATGTTAAAGTTTATTGTTAATCCAAAAGGTTTACGGGTGTTTCTTTAAGTGTTACTCACCTCGTACATGGGTTCTCCTTCTTCAGGGCCGGTGGTAAGAGCGATGTGAGCATCATTGGCCGCCTTCACTCGAAACTGAATTTGCCAACTGGCAACCGGGTAGAAATTATATTGCAATTTGTCCTCGGTGGAGAGTGCTGGAACAAAATGATTGCACCAATTGTTACATTCGTGTGATCTTGATCGTCACACTTGATCACAGGACTTCGTCCTCAATGGAATTTCTTTCTCGACATTCCCATTCCAATTATAGAGAAATCGTACGACGGAATCACTGGAAGATCGAGTCCCTTCAGACATCCAAAGATTCTAACGAAGAATAAAAATACAAGAACTGTAATCGAACAAGTCTCGACTTCGTCATCAACAGCTACCAGTTAACATCACGCGGAAGGTCTCAAAGCCTGGAAGGCTTCGATCGATCCTCGCAGTAATGTGTACTCTCATCACCGTATCTGAATTCGATCGAAATTAACCTTTTGCTCCCGACAGTTTTTAACCAGAAATATTCAACGTTTCCTTGGCGAGACACAGACAATGTGTTTTGAAACTAGCTGAACACAAATTACGAAGCAAAATCGTTTTACTTCAATAGTTCGCGCAATGATGCATTATACTAAGTTTACTAGTAAACATTGAACTTTCTAATTTTTCACTTTACTTATAACTTTATAATGCATCAGATCGAGTGATGACTAAAGGTCGCCTATTCAGTGCGAAGGATTGATGGCTTCGTTACAGCGTAATGCAGCTATTACTTTCAATAATGTTGCATCTAGTGTCTCTAAATAAATACAAGATTAGTTCAGTATCATTAACTTTTGAAGAATATTGTTCTCCAAGGCCAGTAGTACCATTAAAATATCGTCAACATTATCTTACAACGATCTTTCGAATTTCGGAGTCTAATAAATGAATAACGACCGTCGTCCTAGATAGCGTAAGGATTTATCGTTCAGTCCGCGCAAACAGGACAATTCTCGAGCGAAAGAAACTGGGGCAAGGCTTTTTCCACGAAACTTCCAGACGTCTGGACGCCACTCAGTCGACACAACGAACGAAACTAGGACAATGCAGGACTGGGATCGATCAATATCCCGTACTCGCGATAATAGCGCGTCTAAATCACATCGCGCGCGATTAGAAATCTTCGTTGATGATCTAGACACGGTCGGAAGGTTGGCCAAGCGTGCTCGAGGCTTGAAGGACGAGAAAACGGGATGATGATTTCATGCTCAATTTCAACACTAAGATAAGACTACGCTACAACTACCTGCCAGATCGAAATGATCCATCTTGGATTCCTTCTTTTACGAAGTTTTTACAAATTGCTGGTGCGTTAACCCTTTGCACTCGAAAGTTTTCCACTGGAAATATTTAACATTCTTCGACGAGACATAGACGATACTGCTTCAAACTAATTTAACGATAATTCACAGATAAATTAAGCGACACAGCTATTTTATTCCAATATTTCCCATAGCAATACAAAGTTTAATTTAAAACATTAAATATTCAACTTCATAGTTCTGCTGTATCAAATCAGGTGGTGACTGAGTCACCTCTCGAGGGCGAAGGGTTAACACTAGGTTTAAGGACAATTATTGTACACTTCATGCCGTTGTTGCTAAAAACGCTGATGCAGATTATTAATATGAATTAGAAATACTACATCTGTTTTCGAGTTTTTACAAGAAAATGAGATAATGTCTAGTGTTAACACTTTTGCGGAGAGGCGACTTTCGGTCGCCATTTAACTTGACCCAGCAAACTGATAAAACTGAAAATTCAATATTTCATTTAATTTGTACAAGGTATATCTCCATGTTAGTTGCGAAAAATATCATTGATACTTTATCAGAAAATAATGAGTATCTGTCGAGAAAAATATTCTCGAGTGCGATGGGTTAATAAATGCATTTCTATGATTTTCAAGCGATTCGACTGCTCGTTAGTCCTATCGTTAAACGAATAACATTGAGAAGCTGATCCAGCAAGATGTTCATTCAGTTCAGTTACAAGTTCACCATCCGATCTCGATCCTTTCTATTTCTAGTTCCAGCGACGGAATTCACGTCCACGAGTTTGATTGTCTTTAATTAAACGCCGCGGGTTTTCTTCGACGGAAATGGAATGCCGGCGTCTACGAGTCAGATTCTCCTTCTTCATCATCTTCATCTTCTTTATCTGCTTGTTTCCAAGCTGAAACGCCGGCTGCAAGCGATTTCGTACGGTCATAAATTCAACTTGTCCGTGACGTACGGAATGGACTAGGAACTTTAATTAGTAAATATCCGTTTTTACGATTGAACGATGTCCGAGCGATGAACGTTAACGCGCTTAACCTTCGGCGGGCCATGGGTCCGTTTGTCAACGTTGCAAAGGTAAAATAATAATCGGACTGTAGATCTTTATGGAAATTTGAATTTTTCGGAATATAATCAGAAGATTAGAATCACGATGGAAAATGATACTATGTATTCCTTCACATCGGGATCACCCCGCGCAATTTTTCAAATTTCTCATCAATGCGAATTCACAGTCTAATAATCATAATGTTAAGTCAACGCGTAGATAGTCACGGAAATGCTTAAAGATTTCTGTATGTAATATTATACATTCATTCACAGCAAAGATAACTCGCATTAGAAATAATTAACCCTTTGCACTCGAGAGGTGACTCTCGCCATTCGATTTGATACAACAAAATTTGTATAATGAATCAATATGCGAAATGTTTCTATAAAATGGCTTTGCTTTTTAATTTACGTATGTTTTCTCATTAGTTCGTTTCATATAACATCGTCTAGTTTTCATCCTGAAGTATCGAATTTTTCTTAAGGGTTAAGAATTTGGTTTTCGATTTGGAAGCTCCGTTGACCACCATGAGAGTCAACATGTTAGATCAGCTCGAAATCCTCTAGGCAATTAAACGAACAGTTTCATGAAAATTAATGAAGCAGTGAATAAACGAGATAATAATTAATACAAAATTGAAGAGTACACGAATGTTAACATTTGATCGAGACAGCAGGAAGTTGACGATAAATATTTACCTGCTGAGCAAAGAGCCGGTGAATAAGGTTCGAACGAGGATCGCAACTGATTGGCCACATCCGTGAAGTAAAAAATCATCGCCGTTATGACGGCTTTTAATAGAAAGTTTTCCGGTAACACGTGACGGCAAAAGTCCAATAGTTTACTGCCTCGAGAGTTCATTATAATTAACTACATTAACTATGTTAGAATTAATTTCGAACTGATTCGCTTCCTTCATAGGATTAGTCTGAGTCAGATGATCTTGTGATCATTGGTACGAAGGTACAGTTTAAATGAAGGATACCAAGAAAAATGTCCACATTTACGTGACTATCCGATTCGATGTGTTCACGGCTCAAATTGGTTAGGTTTGTTAAGTAGGGGTCGTATACGGCCCCCTCCCTCGCTGAACAGTAGTCATCGGACGTTGCTATAAATAACAAATGTTGTTTCATGATTCCCACATATATTAAAATTGCAGGTCGAACCGATAACGGAATCAGAGATAATAGAAAGCAATGTTAAGCAGTGTTGGAAACGTCATTGAGCTGATGTCATTGCTACTTCGATGCCAATTACCTCACATCATGGTACGCGGATGATTCAAGCCGATCGGCGCGGCAAACTTTCACAGCGAGATCGTTCCGGTCGCGATCGATAATCTAGAGAACATTCTTAACACTGAAATTACCGAGAAATTAAATTGACTTTTTTCTATCGAGGTTGCAATTCATATATAATTTAGTTCGCGTATTGCTAAACCGGTTTCTAATAATCAATAATTTTACTTCTTAACGCGTTAAGCGTTTTAGCGAAGAAAAGTAACAACAATTATTCACTATTTCGCGTTACAATCTTTACATTACATTATTATCAGCTTAGTTACGATATTAAACATTTTGATTCGACATCGATTATTTTGCGTGTTACGATTGTTTTCAAGTAATTCAGGAGCGTCGGTCATCGGTGACTGACATGGCATTTAACGTGTTAACAGTGTTGATTATGATTGTAACAAAGTAACCAAGTAGTCAACGAATTAATGCGATTTTTATGGTAGACGTTCGAAATAATTCCAAAAGAGTTGAAGTTAGAAACCGAGAGATTTCCTCTGGAGATCGGTAGGCTATAATCGGCTTCCCTCTATACAAAATAAAATAGACGTTCGCGTGGCCGATGAGTCATTAACCTGCACGTCTAATCCTCGCGTGTGTCTAATTACGCGAATTTAAGCAAATTTCGCGCCCGCTCTCGTGCCCGCCGAGTCGCTCTTCCGATTCCATTACCGCTAATTTCCGGCCTCGGTGTAACGCAAAGATGGCAGGCCAGATCGTAATCGGCCGCAGAATGTTAATATCCCGGCGAACTGATTAGACTGGAGCCTGCATTCGCGCGAGGCGTGTTACAATTAACATAACAATGCGAAAATTAGAACCATTCAGTCAATTTCCCATTACGCAACCATTCGCCAGGTTATGTCGTCACCGCTAACGTAATTTGCTAACGGTGTACGAATCTCGATGAATTCGTTTCAACGATCGACCGATGCTATTCGAAATTTCTTTATGATCATCATTCATTCGATTAATTCGACTGAACTCGGCATTAACATGGTTATACGGATTACAAATATGAGTCGCTCGTTAGCCAAATCGATTGACAGTAAATTTTTTGAAATTTTATCATCCAAGCTGTAGCTTGACCTTTTACATTTAACACGTTGAATACCGTGGAGGTCACCGGTGACCTTCAACCAAATTGAATTACTATAGTTCACTCAATGAAACAATCATTTGGAAACATTTCTATATTACAAATAATGCTATATATAAATATATTTTTTCCATTTTGTGTATTTTGCTTTATAAAATATTATTGGGTTCAGCGCTGCGAAATAAGAACAATTTTTTTGGCTACATAAAAAGTACGGTAATGATAATTATTTAAAGAGTTCACCGATTTGCCAATGAGTTCATCTATCCATGGCAGTTGCAGCAACAGGTGCTCTGAATAATCAAAATGGCTGCTCGGGTAATAACCGATGCGACAAATTGCAGCGATTCTAGTTAACGAATCTATTGTAATGATTACAAGAAAAACAACTGGCAATAGCTAGTTGCTAACGTATCGAGTCCACCGTCAATTCTCTGTCATTCACCTCGCATAGCAACTGTCTTCCTTTTGCTAGCCAGGTGAACACATGGCCGGTGGCCACGAGCCGCTATAATTTCAGTCGGCGAAAGGTCGATTAACTCCACCTATGTTTTTCTCATCTACAAACGACTAAATTCTTAGAAGTTATTTAAACTGATGGAACGCCAATTAAATTCGATTAATATCAAATTTTTAATGAAATAACCTAAATACTCCTTGAACGATATTTGTTTCATGAAGCGCGTTGTAAATACAGTTGCCCTTTGGTCATGTGTTACATGAAAATAAAAATATATTCATAACATGTCCATAATATCCGTGCAATAGGCTGGAAACATACGTGGACATAGAGGTTCGACAACAAAGTAGTTGAAGAAATATGAAACAAAAAAAAAGTAGCCAAGGAATTCAATGGCACGTATGACGTCACCACGAGGACAATTCACACGGTTATGGCCAGGACTTCAGATGGAACGCAAGATTACCGGTAATAGTGGAATCTCTTGTTGCGAAACAATCTAGAAGACGCCGAGAAGCGACAGCGTTGGTGACGCCAAATTGGAATGATCGCTTTGACCGTCATTTCAACCGACCTCGATTGACAACTCTCTGTATAAATTATTTAAAAATAAATTTCCTCGGTGATATGTTGAACCTAATTCTGCTGGCTATAAGGACATTATTTAAACAGCCGTCTTGCGATATTCAAACTGCCTCGTATTCTGTAGACAAAGAAAGAAATTGTTTGAAAATGTTTTCCATCTACATATTTGATTTTCGTTAATAAATCATATTACTGTGCTATCTCATTGTTCTCAAATGACATTTTCCATTTTTTCCTCGTACTCTGTAGACAAAGAAAATTCTTTAAAAATCTTTTACATCTACATATTTTCTTAAATATGTATTATCTCATTGTTGACAAATGATATTTTCCATTTTTGCCTCGTACTCTATGAACAAAGAAAATTTAAAAATGTTTTCCACCACAGATTTTCTTAAATACGTATCATCTCATTGCTTTCAAATGATATATTCCATTTTTATTACGCGTGTAGCTATAGTCCGACTATCCAGCACTGATCCGGTCCCGAGGAATCGGAATATCGCTGTAACGGGACTGAAGAACGCGTGACAACCACTGCATGCCATTGCAGTTGTAAAGATGTTCCCGCGACATTTTAGAATTCTAGGTTAATGGACACGCTTCCGTTGGAAGGCGACTCCGTGAAATTGTACTGCAAGTAAAGAAAGCCGGCCGGCCGGCCGGCCGGCTTGTCAAACCAACACGACCGCACCCGCTTACTATATTTAGCTGAACACTAGAAAGGGAACCGTCCACGGAAGCACTCGCGTGTAAATCGTAACGGTGCTCTTCCTTCTCAACGAGAAACCAATGATCAATGTAGCTATAAAACCAATGGATCGATATGACATAACTCATTTCAAATAAATCCCAAAGTTACATAAACTCTAGCAATAATCATTACACTTGAAATGTAAACTGTAACTTGCATGATTTTTGCCATCTACGATGGTGCCACAAACGAAATGAATTTGGGTACCTGTTTTTTAGCAAAGTGCCAAAAAGAATGAACACAATGTTGAAAATTATACAGAGAATTTCGTGGAGGAATAATTCCGTCGCACAGGATGGTTCGTGTTGCAAGAAATAGGGCATAGTCGTGGCACGCTGGAATTCAATGCAATATTGAATCCATCTGATAAATATAGACAAGTTCCAAGAGTCACGCGAGGAATTCTTGGGTCACCGCTTCCCTCCGAAAATATTGCATGTTCTCATCCGTTTAAGTGGTACGATGATAATCACCTATTTATGGGGCAAGCGTCATTTACCGGATTAGGGTATTGCTGCATACAATCAGGTACCCGGAAACCAGTGGTCCACTACGTAGAACGTGCAACTAAACTATGTAACAGGAATGTTCAAATAAGGAAACTTGTTTGGTGTGTTATTACCGTTGCGGTTTGTATATACGCAACATTAATACGCGATACTTTAACATCATTTACTAAACTTAATCGTAAGGAACATATGGTATAAATAATATATTTGTAAAATAATTATATAAAATATACTCGTAAAGTACATTCGGACTTAACGACTTTTGGCGATACCGGCGATCAAACGTGATTAATTAATTATTTTACGATTTTCGTTGCTGTGTAAAATATTTAGGGAGAAACTTTGTTATTAATGAAATTGTACTTACAGATAGCCATGCTGCCTTTTTAAAAGGAACGATAAACAGTCTTTAACACGGAATGGTTTCGACGAACTCACTTCGAGGACTAAATTCGTACTGCGCTAAACCGCGTCGCTTTGACGCTTTACGAAACGGTCTGGACGCGCATGCGCATTGCGCATCGTAAACGTCGGTAATTTGCAAGTGATAATTAGGCGAATGGGATGAGTCATAAATTATCAATGCAAATTTGCGTTTAAATTTAAAAACAAATTTTATGAATATTATTTTTGCCAGTGTGCACATATATTTAGAGAAGAATATTTTAATAATGAAATATATATGCAATTAATAAACGGTTACCGTTATAGTATTTATAACTACTGCAGCACGGGTGAGTGGTTCAATGTTGCCGGTGAATGTTTGTGCGGTATGATTCATTGAAATGCAATTTATTTTCTTTTAATCATGTTGTTAGCATCTGAGGATTACCGTAAGCAACTTATGTGTTGACGACGTAAAAAGTATTAGGAAGGTTATCAATATTTTTCTGTATTATATGTGTGTCTACCATGGTATATTAAATAATTAATGCACACGTTGCACTACTTAACATCCCAATATAACCGCGACTAATCAGTTCAGTCGTTAGATTGCTTCAATTATGACGGAAATATTAATGATGTCATTGTTATGAGCACTCGTAAAATCAGTGAAGATCTGCTTGCGTATATATGTAGGTTCATCTTTATGGTGGCAACGCGTAATAACTTAAAATCCAGCAAACTCGAATGCATTTGCGTAAATTAATAATCATATAGAACGTTTACGAAGAAATTAATTATAGCAGTGTATAACTCACTGGCGAAGTGAATTTCATATATTCATAGTTTCGGTGACCTCGTCAAACAATAATACGTTACTACGTAATAACTATTCCAATGAGTCATTCCGAATACGTAGGCGCCATAGAATCTATAATAGATTATATTACGCTGTAAGATTATACATGGAATTGTTTGACATGTGGTTTCATGTGCTTGACAGTAAGTCACGGTTATTGATAAAGGAAACCAATAAGGAATCGAATACTCATAATGTGTAATCCATGTATAAACATCAATATTAAATAGGTGATTCTTGAGTAGTTCAAAACAATAATTCAATATACATGTGTACATTCGTAATGCTAGCGTAAAATCAAAAAATATTACAATTATCGTTTAATTTATGTAACAAAGTAAGACTATCGACTTGTAATAATGTAGATATTTATTTAAATCATCACTGTCAAAATATTTTCAAAATAACTTTTAGTTAATATAAATTTATTTCATCCAATTTAAAGTAGATTTCAAAAAACTTTACAGCTTGAAATTTTGAATTCATTTTGACATTTACAATAATCTTGGAAATCTTGGTATTAGAATCAATTAGGTTATGTGTTAGTTAACATGATCTGGTTAATAATATTTATTGACTTATCATAAATTTCAACATTGAAAGAAGTGTTAGTAATTACTACGTCTTCTATTGCAGTCTTCACTTTTATGACATTTATGTATAATATATGCACAAATATTAATGAAGGGATTTTGGCGCCAATAAATTTGGCGGGAATTTTAATATGATGTTTTGCTTTTAGCCGCCTGGTGATATTAATCAATATGCCCAACCTAGGAAATGTATCTTAAAAGTGTAAGTATTTTACTGAACCTTAATTTCTTATTTATTATTTGCTCATATAGTTTGGTTGTTAAGAAATATGATTGTTAGTTAGTCCTGTGAAGTTACATAAAGAAGAGACTACTTGTAATGTAGGTAACTTCTTCTAAAACTAACAATAAATTTGGTACTACTTATTTGTATGATTCGTAGGGGGAGCTGTCATCACGTTGACCTCATTCAATTACGTATCAAAAAGTTATACATTAACCGGTGAAAACATCACTGATTTCTGAGCACGTTTTGTTATTTGTTATTGTTCAAAATGCATTCGCTTACCGAAGGAGCATTAGATGTAAGTTTTTCGATCTATTATGTTTCTAACAATTTATTTATTTTATACGATTTCTACTTGTAGAAAATAATGAATGGCATTGATGTTGATAAGCCTGTACTCCAAATTTTGGTAAATATTTTGTATTAGGGTATGTATATATTTTTTAATTAATTACTTTATTGATGTTTCTGATTTCTTATGTACAGGGACATAAAAAGCTTGCAAGTACAAATAGTGGGGAACGCTATAGACTACTTGTATCCGATGGAAAAAGCATAAACTCATTTTCAATGTTAGCTACTCAGTTAAATTCAATGATCACAGATAATATACTAACTGAGTTTTCTATTTGTCAGATAAATAGATATGCAATAAGTATGGTGAACAATGCTGGGAAACAAAAGTACGTATTCTTAATATGATATCATAATAATAACATTTAATCGTATCTATCAGATTGTTTTTAATAGTTTTTAATATTATGTTAAATGTTTTGTCTTATTTGATCTTATCCTATTTCATTTTATTGATTCATCTTATTTAGAGGTAGACAATTTTTTTGATACAATTGTAAAACAAAATTATAATTCATTATGTATGTATCTGTATTTAGACGTGTGATGGTGATATTAAACATCGATGTAAAGGTTCCTGGTAATGAAGTTGGCCATAGAATTGGTAATCCAATTAATGCTGACTTTGAAGGTGATTCTAAGCCAGCACAATCAGCACAACCAGGACGATCAGTACAGTCTCCACCCAAGCAAAAAAATAGTACTATAATTTAATAACCTAACTTAAATAATCCTTGTCGATAAAAACTAATTACAAGTTATATTGTTATTTTAATAGATTATGCACAAAAGAGTAGCACAAACCAAGCTTCTACGAATGATATATCAACAGTTCCAATTGTTGCACTGAGTCCTTATCAGAATAGGCAAGTTTAATATGATCTTACTGTATTTTTATAATGTCAGAGTAGTCTAAATGATAGTATATTTCACAGATGGGTAATAAAAGCACGAGTTGTTAGTAAATCTGGTATTAGAACATGGAGCAACTCACGTGGTGAAGGAAAGTTATTTTCCATGGATATAGTTGATGAGAGTGGGGAAATCAGGTGTACAGCATTCAGAGATCAGTGCGATAAATTCTATGATATGCTTGAGGTATGCTATTTGTTGGTTGTTATTATATACACTTTGCAAATCATAATATAGAATGTCTATTACAGGTTGGAAAAGTATATTATATTTCTAGAGCCACTTTAAAAACAGCGAATAAACAGTTTAACAATCTTAAAAATGATTATGAAATGACTCTAATCGGAGACTCAGAAATCATTCCATGTTATGATGCTGGAAATGAAATTCCTTCCCTTCGGTTTGACTTTATGCCAATAAGTCAAGTCGAAAATAAAGAAAAAAATGATATCATGGGTATTTATATACTAATTTGATTATGATTTATAAATGTTCACTACATACATTATGTAATATTGATATGTTACAGATATTTTGGGTGTTGTTAAGTCTTGTAGTGATCTTCAAGTATTAACTTCACGAACCACGGGTAGAGAAATGAAAAAGAAAGATGTTAATCTTGTAGATGAAAGCAATACGATGGTAAATCTTCATTTAACTATCAGAGAGTAAAAAGTATATAGAAACATTTTATACATTTATAGGTATGTCTTACATTGTGGGGTTCACAAGCTGAAGATTTTGATGGATCCATGAATCCGGTTCTAGCAATAAAAGGAGCTCGAGTTGGTGAATTTAATGGAGGGAAAAATCTATCTACTATTAGTTCCACAGTTCTTCAAGTTGATCCAGATATCCCAGAGGCGCACAGATTACGTGGTTGGTTCAATACAGTCGGCCGCAATGAAGAAATCAGAGCAATTTCTAGAGGACTTGGAGATGCTGGGGGTGGTGTAAGTGGACCGTTCCTCACATTCAAGGAAGCTAAAGACAAAGAGTTAGGTTACAATGGTCCTGATGTATACACAGTCAAAGCAACTGTGAATATGATTCGCGTTGAAAATTCTCTTTACAAATCCTGCCCTACTGAGAGTTGTAAAAAGAAGGTAACCGTTTTGTTAACTTCATTTTGTAGCATAAGAAGACCCAAGCTAATTAACTGCTTGCACTTTACAGTTAATTGATCAAGCTAACGATATGTACAGATGCGAGAAATGTGATAAAGAATTCCCCAATTACAGATATCGTTTATTAGCTAGCGTAAGTATGGGAATGTTTCTACCTTTTACAATGAACAAGGCATTTATCAGTATTTAATGTTTTTAGTTAAGTTTAGCAGACTGGACAGGTCATCAATGGGCCACAGCATTCAGTGAGGAGGCAGAAAAAATGATTGGTATTACAGCTCAAGAACTTGGAGAATTAAAAGAAAATGATAATGAAGCATTTCTCGAAAAATTCGCTAATGCAACGTTTAAGAGTTTCATATTTAAGTTACGAGTTAAAATGGAAGAATTCAACGTGAGTTTATTGATAAAAGTATTACATACAAAAACATAGATTACAGATGGGTTCAAAATATGTTTGATTGATTTGTACTTATAGGATGAAAAGAGGTTGAAAGCAACTTGCCTCGGTGTATCCCCGGTGGATTACAAAGTCTATAATGATCACTTATTAACTCAAATCAAGGAACTAGCTGGTATCGGGAAGGCTTAAACCTTTGGTTATTTGTATTTGTAATACAGCTGTATAATTATTCTAAGTTCAATTTTTGTATTTATAAAGCGAGTATTTTTTATATTATTAATTCATTTTGTATGTAATAAAAACAGATGTGTGATCTCTAAAATGTTCCCCAGCTTAATTATAAATGAAATCAGTTAATGTTTTCTGAGTAGTTTGGTATTTGATTATGATATTAATTTTTATTGATCAGCACGTAATTTTCATAGTCACAATTCTATTTGATTTTTCTGTCATCTTAATGTCTCATTTCCTCTGATATTTCATAACGTAATTCTCGCAGGCCTATTGGAACTTTCCTTTCTTTTTAAATTATTTTGCTAGGGATTTTATTATAATACTAGCACGTATCGCTGCAGCAATCAAGAAGAGAAATCTAGTTGTATTCCCTTTAAGTAGCAGATATTGGCGTCCCCGATGATTCGTAAGCTTTAAAATACTTTACGGGAACATAAAGTGTAACATTTAACTGAAATTCATTTAATAATAAATGAAGAACATACGTTGTACTTTACACGACAATAAATTATTTTTCGTCTGTTCGGTTATATAACGAAAGTGAACAACATAAAAATGATATTCGAGCAATTTAACGTTTGTAAATATTTATGATATTTGTCAGGTAATTAGAAAGTACTAAAAGAATTTGTTTTCGGTTGGAATGAGTCAGGAGGAAACAGGCGCGAAAATGGCGATTTGTGTTTCGAAGGAATACCGTATCAAATAATTGGAATTTAAAGTGATGCAGTGTTCTGTAACGTTTAGCCGGAAATGAAATAACAAAAGAGAAATGTAATTAAGAGTGCTTACTTAGTTGTACGCACGCAAAGTGTCTAACGTATCTCCTTTATCTTATTGCCGCAAAGAAACTTAGTTTGATGAATTGTATTACTCTCTTTTAATAAGTACGTTTCGTATAAACATTCAGTGAAATGATATTTTTCGATCAGGTTTTAACAAGAACAGTGTTACATTGAATATTGTAGATAAAATGGAATCTGAAAGTGCTGTTATGTTGGAATCATGTGGAGATGATTCAATCTTAATCCAGACTGTGAAAAACATAGTCACAGAGGATGTACGTGCTGAACTGGAAAGCGAGGAAGAGGAGTTTTTTGTTGTGACAGATGTTGAAGACGCACAACAAAATATAATAGAAGTATGTAATGAAGAATCAGCTGCAACTGAAAATGACGAACGAATATCCTGGACCAACTTATGCAGAATATGTGCTAATACCAATGATCATTTAATTCCAATATTTGAAGGGGAAGGATTGCAACATGACCTGAGTAATAAAATACATAAATATTTACCTATACATGTACGTGCTTCAGTAGTTTTACAATTAATTTAGGTTTGCATATATAGAATATTATTCTTAACTTGTTAATTTTTTCTTATAGATATCCGAGACAGATGTGCTTCCATTGCAATTGTGTTACCATTGTGCTGCTACGTTATTAGCGTGGCACGAACTCTTAGAAGGATGCTTGACTGCGGAAAGACGGTTATTAGAGATGCAGGATAGTCTGCAGGAGAAACAGGTATATTTTTTAATGTATCCTACTACTCCAAGTTTTAATATATGAAAATAATGTTTCTTTGATATGTATAATTTTACAGAGTTCAGAAGGTCTAGAAGTATCAGTAGATACAACGGTATCCAATGTAACGGAATCTCTGGTAAGTGTGAAAATGATATTTAATATTGATATTATTTTACATGCGGTCTCTGTTATGTCAATTAACCGTGCTGTTTATCTTAATAGTATAATAACGTGTTTAATTGTAGCATCAAGAGCAGGAAACTGTGAAGGAAGAAGATTGTGGGGAAGTGGCTGAGAATGACTTGAACAGGTAATAACTCTCTTTATTTAAAGAAAACACAGAAACTAATAATACATTGGAGCTTAAATACGTGCAATCGAACGTGCAGAAAACATGCCCTATATAAATATATCTAAGCATAATAAATATGTACAAACATTTCCGCGCATAATAGTACGATAAAAGTAAGCTTTTCGTTTGTATAAAATATACTCACTGTACGAAACAGAGAGTTGAATGCTCTTAATGAAAACTTTACACGTTGGTTATCCCTGTTTGAAATATGGATAATTATAACCTATTCGAGTACGAAATATGGAACAAGACAGAGAAAAACGGAACTTTGTATAGATACGACTGTAAAGATGGGTTGAACAAGAAAACAAACTTCTGCATAGACCACAACTGCAAAATCTGGAGTCAAGTTCTGACTGTTTTGCAGGTCCAGTAATATGCGGACACCATTTAAGGTGTTCTTAGACATGCAGAATGTATTTCGGAAGCCAAACAGAGTAAAATACCAGCTACGAGAAAGAAAGCCTGCAGACAACGGAGATTGCGATTCGGTGTGGATCAGTGTCATGAATTCACCGCTCGATCAGTCTGCCGTGACCGAACATCTGACACAAAATAACGATGCCGACGTGAAAGAAGAGGCTTCCCGTCTGTACGATTCGAACAGCTTAGAAAAATTCAAATTGAAAGACGATAGAAATAAACTGAATCCTTCGAATGAAAGGAACGGCGACAAAAAAATCAGAGGGAAATGTAAGCTCTGTCCCAACGATGTCAGAAACAATGGAGATCCTTGTGAGCACGTGAAACAAAAGAATTCCGGCGAGGTTCAAGAATCTTATCAATGCGTTGAATGCAGCAAATGCTTCAAATTGAAGGATTCGTACCTAAGGCATATGAGGATTCACAGAGACGAAAGACCGTTCACTTGCCACGTATGCGGAAAGCAATTTCGTGATTCCGGTGGCCTTTCTAGGCACTTGAAAGACGTACACGCGAAACTGAAAAATTTCACTTGCGACATTTGCGGGAAATCCTTTGCGTCGAAGGCCACCAGGGAGGACCATCGCAGAACGCACACAGGAGAGAGACCGTACATTTGCGACTCGTGCGGGAAGACATTTAAATCGAAAGCTTCTCTCTACATTCACAGTAAACTGCATACAAACGAGTTCCCGCATCCATGCTCCTATTGTAACAAAAAGTTTCGCAGAAGGCAGGAGATGCTGGCCCACGTGACCACGCATACCGGCGAGAAGAATTACGGTTGCGACGTCTGTTCGAAACGGTTCAGGGTGAAGTCGGAGCTCGTTAGGCATAAGCTGATCCACTCCGAAAATAAGCCGTTCGTTTGTGTGAAATGCGGCCTCGCTTTCCGGCAGAAACGATATCTGAATAATCACATTAAAAGCAGACACGTTGAAACATTGCGAGCATGCTAATAATGCGCCTTAGAATATCCTACACAGATAGTCTGACTATTCGCAAACGAGGCGGAAACAATCAAATCTGGTACATTTATTATTTTTCCAGGTTTGGTCTACCTCGGAAGAAATCCCTCGCGGCATACTGCTCGTGGCATATGACAGCGATGCGCTCAAATAATATTATTCAGACCAATAACAAATGTACAGTTCCTCAGGAATTCGTCGAAGTGATCGGTGAAGGGAATGCGGCGAAGGAAGATCGCAAAGAAGACAGCACCGACTCGTTTAGCAATTCAGCTACTTCAGAGTTCAGTGTATCCACTGTAACGACGTCCACGCTTTCCCCTAAAGACTCCGTCAGAGAAACGGTACCGTTAACACAGAAGTGCGTTGGTTCACGAGACAACGGTCTCCACACGTGCGCGACGTGTCAAAGAAGTTTTAAAAGGGAATGTCACTTGACACGACACTCTTCTAAATGTACAAACAGCACGGCAGATAGTATCGACCAAACGGACGAGAGCGTGTCAAAGGATTCGACTGAAAACGAGAGTAAAATCGAGGCGAACGACAGGGAAAATCGGAAATCGTACGAGAGGCACAAAAGGAAACGACACGAGACGCACCCGTGCATGTACTGCGATTACACGTCTAAGAGGAAGAAGCTGTTGGAGGTTCATCTAATGGAGTCTCACGCAGAATTCATTGGGAAGAAGGACAGGAAGCTGCGGTGCGCCGATCGTGAGTTGGTGACGCGCGCCAAGATGGAGGTCGACGGGAAAGTGTACTACCATTGCGACGAGTGCGGAAAGAACCTGTATTCCCCGTACACCTTCTACTGGCATGTACGGATACACACTGGCGAAAGGTCTTATACGTGTCACCTATGCGGCAAGCAGTTCCGCGTGAACCAGGGTCTAGCCAGGCACTTGAAGGACACACACGCCGGCATAAAGAACTTCCCCTGCGACATCTGTGGCCGGATGTTCACCACGAAACGGAACGCGGAGGATCACAGGCGGATACACACCGGCGAACGGCCGTACGTCTGCAACGTTTGCGGGAAATCGTTCAAGCAGAAGGCCTCCCTGTTCGTGCACAACCGAACACATTCAGACGTGTTCCCGTTCAAGTGCAATTACTGCGAGCAGAGCTTCCGCACGAGGCCGCCGCTCGCCGTCCACATAACGAAGCACACCGGCGAGAAACCGCACGCGTGCGACATCTGCGACCGCCGGTTCCGCATTAAATACGAGCTGAAACGCCACCGGTTGATCCATTTCGACGAGAAACCGTGGCGGTGCACGGAGTGCGACCTCACCTTCCGGCAGAAACGCTACTTAGTTAATCATAAGAGAATTAATCATACGTATCGGTTCACGCCGGCCGTCGAGTAACAGGGACAACTCTATTTTCAGGTGTAGAGATCGGCCGGCCGGGCTCGATGAGAAATCAAACGATAGGTTCGCCGCGCGAATGGTCTCTGAGGCTGGTCCAAGGGACCGCGTACCGGTCAGTGACGTTAGAACCGCTCGTGAGGATCCAAGAACCATTTCAGAGAAAAGTAGCCGGCCGTTAAAACGAACCATTGAACAACGCGACGAGCTGGCACGTGCGAAAGTTACCAACGACGGAGTCATGTCTTACAAATGTAGCGATTGCGGGAAAACGCTGTCCACGTCGTACAACTTTCTGATCCACCGGAACACCCATACCGGAGAAAAGCCGTACGTGTGTCGCGTCTGCGATAAAGGCTTCCGCTCGGGGTCAGGTCTGAACAGACATACGCGCGACGTTCACGCGGGAGTAAAACGATTCGCCTGCGACATATGCGGTCGTTGTCTGGCCTCGAAGGTCTCGAGGGACGAGCACAGGCGCATCCACACCGGGGAAACGCCGTACGTCTGCGAGACTTGCGGGAAATTGTTCAAACAGAAGGCATCTCTGCACGTTCACAGATTGTTCCACTCGAAACGCTTCTCGCACCGGTGCCCTATGTGCGGTCGGTGTTTCCCTAGAAAGCAGGAGTTAGATAAGCACGTTCACAGCCACACTGCACAGAGGCCGTTCGCTTGCGAGGTCTGCGGCGAACGATTCCGTAGCAAAGGCTGCGTTAGCCGTCACAAACGTATCCACGGTAACGATCACGAGAAGCCGCACGTTTGCCCCGTATGCAACGCGAGATTCAGCCAAGAACGTTACCTGAAGAGCCACGCGAGGAACCTCCACGAGGATTCGGTTTCGCTGGAATGATGTCGGAATATGTTTGTTTTGCAGGTGGAAGAACGAGGCCGACGGCGTTGCGCGATTACCAACGGTTAACGATACCGCGAACGGCGAGGAGGTAGAGTACGTCCAGTGCACTCAATGCGACGTCGTCTTCGTGAACATGAAGTATTTCATTGAGCACATGAACACCGTGCACGAGGCCGAGATGCATTACTGTCAGTATTGCAAGCTGATGTACCAAAGCCGAGAGAAAGACTTCCAAGAGCACATGTTGATGCACAACGACGGCGTCGGGGAGACGAGTACCGTTGCGGATGAGATGGGGTTGACGGCCAGTTTGAAAAAAGGAACGGCAGAGAACGTGGAACCTCCTGTCACGGAGATCGCCGAGGAACCTGTATGCTTCTTTACCTGTAACCTATGCGGGAAAGAGTTCACGAAGAAGTCGGAATTGAAGAAGCATATAAACAGACATTTCGACGTGAACCGAATCGAGAATCCAGACGAGACCGAGCTGGTGAATAAGGCGAAGCAGATGATCAACGACCGCGTCTCTTACAAATGCGACACCTGCAAGAAAGTTATATTCACGAAGCGAGGCTTCTTGCGACATATTCGCGTTCATTCCGACAAACGACCGTGCAAATGTGACCTGTGCGGGAAATCCTATAGGATCGAGCAGGATCTGGCGAGGCACATAAGAGACGTTCACGAGGGTTTGAAGAAGTACACCTGCGACATATGCGGCCGCGCGTTCGCGAATAAAGGGACGAAAGATGACCACCGCAGGATCCATACAGGAGAGCGGCCGTACGCGTGCGAACACTGCCCTAAAATGTTCCGGACTTTAAATTCCATTTATATTCACAATCGTGTGCACACCGATTACAAACCTCATAAATGCTCGTACTGCAACAAGTATTTCAGGAGCAGGCAAAGGCTGACTCACCATGAGACTACGCACACGGGCATTAAAGCATTCCCCTGCGAGATCTGCGGTAAAACGTTCTCGGTTAAAGGAGAGGTGGTTCGACACCGCGCGATACACAACGAAGAGAAACCGTTCGATTGTATTTGCGGTATGAAATTCGGGCAGAAACGATACCTGAGGAATCACATAAAACAACATCACAAAGAGGCGTCTTCTTGGCTGCTGGAGGAATTGCTGGGAAATAACTGAAACGCGAGTCGTTGATTGTTATTTAGAACGGAGCTTGTTTTTATGAATATCATGTGAGACAGTTGTACAGTCAGATACGTGCATTGTATTTGTTATGTGACTTTTGTACGATAAAAGATTGTTCAGAATAATTACACACCGGAAACCAATTGAATTACATGGTAGCAATGTGTTGTTTTGTACAACCTCGACCTTGTTGCGTCCAGAACATTTGATACTTGCCTCGAGTTTGTTTGGTGAATAGAACAAACGTGTATCGAGTGTGTATAATTTAAATAGTAATAAATAATTTAAAATCAATACAAATAGTATACGGTAATCGCGGGGAAATGTAGAATCATGTACATTTACAATGAATAATTGACTCTCATGCTCGTCTTATTATAATTAATATTTTTACTCGGATAAAACAAAATTAAGAAGCAACGCTAGTTCCTATAAATTTTAATAATAAGTAACTCATTCGGTAACGTTATAACTGTGAAAAATTAGAAAAATAAAAAAATATAATTTATGGTAGGTAATCCAGTACCTAATATGTAATACTTTCATAACACTGTAGTTCCCCTTTTCTTGTGTTTTTCTTAAGAAATACTTTCCTTCAAACGGTATAGCAGCATGTCTTTAAACTTCGTCGCCAATGTCTGCCAAATTTTTATTATTATTATTATTTTAAAGTAATCATATTTTTTCGAATGTAACATGATATTTGTTACCGTGTTTATAACTTGTGATATGCATTTTCGCTTATTCAAGGTATCTTTTATGTCACTAATATATAAATTACTGAAGTTAAAACTTTCTAAAAGAGCATCAAAGTCTTCCACAGATAATCTTTTTAAGCTTTGAATCAGTTGTGAAATATTTGAACATTGTTTTGTCATTTTAGGTTTCTGAAAGTAAGCAAGCAATATGAACATAGTTATATAGACCTATTGTTTCACAGCTAAGAAATGAAACTTACATGACGTGTTGCCAACTTTGGTTTAAATGCATTTTCTCTCAGAATAGTTTCTATTCTCTTTCGCTCTGCCAATCTATATTGCTTTTTCTGTGACTTTGATCCACCTATTTTACAACGTATAACATTTCTGTTCTCAGTACTTTTCCAAGGATCGTACGTTTCTACAGGTTCCTTAGATATTAAACAACCTGAATTAATTTCTGTACTCAAGCCAAACGAATATTAAATACTCATCAAACCTCTATCCAATCTTTCATAATAGGCACTGATAGGTTCCGAACTGATTCTAAAGGTACTGTGCCCAATTCGCATGATGGTTCTAAATTATACATAAATCTCCTTATATTTCCACTACTTGCACAGTTTATAATATGTTTCTAAAATTTAATTTTCTCATTAATTCTCATATCATTCATATGCAATCTAATATATTCTATGTAATGATTGTACCAATTAATATAAACAAATAGGATTACATCCATTTTTTTCAATGGAAAATGTTTACACTTAATCACGTTAAGAATGGAAAGAGGTCAATAAACATGGAATATTGAACTCGGTCTCAATCGGCGTGTATTTGGCAATCAAAAGTGATCTAAATAAATTTGTTGATACCTCAAAATAAGCCTCGTCAATAATATGGCACGCATCAAAGGGGCATTGTTTTTTTTTTAACGAATTATTCTTACTGCAACGTACAAGATGATAAGGCAACGTGTCTTTGCGAAGTCGATGCGTGTTATCATACGGGCACGTTACGATTAAATTCATCGTTGACACGTAAAATCTAAATTAATACGTAAATAATACAACAAAATAGCAACTGATATAAACAAAATCAAAACTGAATTCGTGAATTCAAGTGACAAACGATAGATTCATACTTCTCTTTTGTAAACGATGAATGTGCACCCACGTGGTGCTTTTAAGCAGCTCCGGGATGAAAGAAGGCTTCTGTGGTCGTAGGATCTTCCGGTAGAGGGATTTCCTAACATCCGTGAAAACAAGACTCTCGCTACAAAAGAGTAACATGTTTTCAATAAGCAGTCCTTTCCATTATTCTCCGTTATTCTATTTTTAATAAATTATTAACACTGAAGACCGTGAGGGTCACCGGTGACCCCTAACCAAATTGAATTACTATAGTTCATTCAAAGAAACAACGATTATTCTAACATTTCTATATTACAAATAATGCTACCTAATTCCGTGACATTCAACTAGAACGTGCAATAATAATAATGCAATTCAATCAAATGATTCAGTATCATATATTTTTCCATTTTGTGTATTTTGCTTTATAAAATCGTGCGGCATTCAACGTGTTAATAACAAAGTAGTGAAATCGATCACGGTTCAGAAAGAAGTCGTAAGAGATTAACCTGTTAACTGTGAGTTTCCGAAATCTCTCATTGCGCGCAATAAAATCACATATAATATAGAATATTCTAACGGAAAACTAAAGCAAAACGAAGATTGACATGTTCATCCGAAAAAATAAATAATTTTGTGTTTCAAATTGAAGCGTATACTCGTCAAACGCAATTAACTGGTTAAACGGATGCAGTGTCACGTCACGAGGATTATTTAATTGTCGAAGGAGGAAAAAAGGTGGAAACAACAAAGAAGGAAACCGAAGTGGTACGTTATATACATACTTTTCTCTCGTTGGGGGGAATACTTAAAAGACGAAATGTATTTTTATGTGCGCCACGGGAAACCGTTAAGCCGGCGTTCTTGCAGAGACGGAAATCTTTCGTTTCGAAATTTATTTTTACTTCCTCCGGTTAAATCCATGAGCTTTGTTCCCTTCCGAGAGCCGCAACGGTAACTCATTTCATTGCTTTACAAGCGTTTGTTTTTACTATTCGCTCTAATAATAAAGTGCCCGCGAATAGCATATATAGGATTCCTTGCGCGTCCGTTTCCGTAAAATAAAAATATCATTGTTGAGAAATGGTCTCAATGTCAACCGTGCGCCCGCCGCAATTATATTTTATACCTGAACGACACAACGTTGAAACATGATACGTTTGGGAAATTGCGATGTTAACCGTGAACGTAGTTCCATGAAAATACCTCTGTTTCCTCCCTTTGTTCGAGGAACAGGAACACGAGGGTAACCGTCAAGTCTGGATAAGTGGTTTTCGCGTATTTCGAGATTGAAACGGCACATCTATATAGTTGAGACAACCTTGCACGTGCACGTAACACATCGAAAACTATTTATACGCGAAACATCGTCACCTTATTATTGCCCGAAATAAGTTGCTTGACGTTAACGTTGCGGCGATGGTGTTACGATCGAAAATATCATTT